CCCAGTATTTCCCCATGTCCATTGTTCAAGCAGTACATTTTTTCAAAAGCAGAAGCAAAAGTATTAACATACACAGAAATTGAGAAGCTGAATGAGTGTCCACATAGACCTATGCAGGCACATATATACTGCAGCAGTGGAAGTCCATAGTCATGGACAAAGTCATTAGGGAGAAGTTCTTGTAAAGAATTCTACTGTAAGACTTTGTTCTTGAAGCTACATCCACCACTCAACGGCCCCCAAAAGTGAGGTACCTTTTCTAACCGGTACCTGCAAAAAGTCACATGTAATAATGGTACATTATAGTTTTAAACTAATGTTCCCTTTACCCTGCCTGTAGAGGAAATAATTTTTGAAGAACATTCCAGATGAATCCCATTTGTTTTACAGCTCAAAGAAGGATGAAGTAAATCCCTTCAGTCTCTCATTAGTCTAGTAACACTATCCTTTGGACAATCTGTATTCAGCCTGACTGCTTTGCCTGTACTTTACCCCAATTAGTTCACCTCATCTTGAGCAACTTCTAAGATTATAAATGCCTATACAGCTTCAAACCCCTCCCAGATATCTAGGCCTGGAAGGATCATTCAGAACCTCAGTGAGCCCACAATCATCAAGAGAGATAGGATAATTGGCAAGACTATGCACACAGTATGTGTATACATTAGTGTGGGTCATAAGATGTCAAAGCTTTAATTTCAAGATTTTGTAGGGGTCTAAAATGAGCATTTGTGGGCTGAGACAGTGATAGAGAATTGCAAAGAAGGTCCCTGGCCAAGAAAAGTATTATTTTTTCTATTTAATATCTTCCTAAATTACATTTCTATCATACTGGCAGGTTTTTCTTCAAATATTGGCAACTAAAATGTTCTCAACTTTATTACAAAGAAAGCAGATGATTATAATTTTGGACTTTGTGAAATTTAGGTGCACACTGTAAGCTGTAGCCTTGGCCATAATCTCAGTGAAGTATTTTGGCTGTCAGAGTTCTCAATAGCCCTGTTCCTCTCTCCTCTGCCAGTGGTGAATTTGAAGTACTGACAGACACAGAAAGACAGAGCTTAATCTATTCTATTCTCTTCACACTCAGGCTCTCTTGGGTGCACTACTAAAAGAAGGTACTTGTGTAAGTATCAACATAATTGTGTTAAGGATTACAGGTATCACTATTGGTATATTAAAAAATCCACTGTTGGTGGGGTTTTTTTTTATGCTTGATTTTTTTCAGGTAAGGTGGCATCCACTTCAAAAAAAGTCAAAAAACAGATTAAAAAAAAATCAAACAAGCTGTTGGATGGACCAACAACACGCAAAAATAATTTATTGTTCCAGCTTTTGACAGATGAAGTCTGAATGTCCTAACCTGAATAATATACACTTTTTCAAGAGTATGTTTTTCAGATTTTATTGGGACCTCTGAAAATTACCACAATGTAGTTCTTCAAAACAAACTCATAAACTCCTGAATATAGCATCCAAGTGTCCTTCCAAACACATCTCACTTCCTCAACTCTTAAGAGGCTCCTGCTCTTAAGGAACATTTACAGAAGCATTCTATAATCTACAATACCACTTAGAATGGCATTCAATTTATAGATTTTAATAAGTAAAGTTCATTTTAGGTTGTGGACATGACAACCCACAGATCAGATTTATCTTCTCAGTGGAGAACCCCTACATTTATATACTTAATAGTAAACGAAAACACCGTGTGGGTATGTCATGGCAGCAAGATTAAGTACACGCATTTTTGTTCACCTAGTTTGCTTGATAACCACAAGGTGAAACCGCGACAGCAAAGATTCTGTGTAAACTGGTCACTGAAGGACCAAGGCACTTACTGGGGCAAGTGGCCTGCAAGGATGTCTACTATTTCAGGACAGCTCTTCTATAATCAGGACCTCCCCATAGACTGAAAGCATGCTTGATTCTACAATTTTTGTTTTCTTCCTCTCTTCCTTGTAACCAATGCAGTTTGGCAGGACCTTTCTGTCTCTGACCAAGTATAGTGCAAGGCTTCCCTGTTTAGCTGGGATCTCAGTAAAGGTAATATGGGAACAACTTCATACTTAGCTCTAATTTCAGGATACATATATATATGTATATGTATATATGCATATATATTTTTATTATACTTGCTGTTAAGGCATTATTGACAACCACGATATATAGAGAAACAAATAAAACTCCTAGCTAAGTACTGAGAATATTAATTTCTAGTGAACTGCCAAGATATGCCAGTGGAAATATGATCATCAGGTACTAACAAAAAAAAAAAAACAACCCACAAACAAACAAACAAACAAAAAAACCCCAAAAAACAAACCAAAACAAAACAAAAAAAGCCAAACAACTGCATGACACATCCCTAAATGAGCAGGATGAAGAACTGAGACATTTCCTAATGCATAATCTGTAAACTGACATCTGGACTGCTGGGCAGGACAGCAGTCGTCCTGGTGCTGAGCTAGGGGATATGTGACAAGCTGCAGAGCACTAATCCTTCAAGAAGTGTCAAGTGGCACACATACATGCTGTCTGTTGGCAGCAGTTAGGACTGCAGCATATGTACTCTCCACTTGTGTGCATGCATCATTACATTGACTGCTAAAGCTGTCATCTCACCTCCTTTAAGACATCACATACTAACCCCCTCACTGCAGTCTTTCCATGAATTACAGAGGACCTTGTCCTGCTAATTCTTCCAGAAAAATACTGTACCTATATACCTTGTTGCACATGCTAGGTTGAGGGAAAGCTGACTGGTTAGCACATCAACAAGCTATTTAATGGCTTTAACGATTGTAATTGAGGAATGATTATTCTTAGAAATTCTGACAAGGTAGAAATCAGGTATAGTGCCCAAGCAATAGCTTGAAATAAAAAAATCTATATAGCTATGCCTATATGTAACACCTACGCTTAAAAAAAAAAAACCCAATAAAATGGATATATTTAGCAAATGCTAACACAAACCAAGAAAAATACATAGGAGAAGAGAACAATGTATACCCTGCATTGGTAGTTATTGAATGCTTACATGCAAACAGAGTTTCATGAAGCTTCAAAACTGAAATTTCCCTGCTTTCCATTTTCCTCCTTAAAAATAAATCACTATGTCTGAACACTGGAGTTGTGGTCTATTGTGAGCCGAGCTGAAGTTATGTAGTGGATTCAGCATATACTGGAAAAGCAGAAAGCTCCTGCTATCTTCGTGAGCTAGTTGAAAAGTGAAAACAGATTAGAAAAATAAGTTCTTCAATAGGTAGCAATATTGCTTTCACACCAGATTTGATGAATAAGTCCTCCCAGCGGCACTAACACCTGATACGCACATTGCATGGATTAGCAAGTTTTAGTCCAGGCAGAAGAAAAACCATTTTTTCTTTCCCCTTCCAGTAACTGCTGCAGGTATATTATCTAATGAAAACACAACAAGATTTCTCTAAGGAATATGAAATTCGTTTGGAGTTTCCATCAAACAATTATATGCTGTTCATCCACTATCTGAGAAGCACTGAGGCATATCCAGACCTGATTACATTTATTCTTAGCTCCAGATCAGACTACCCCACTACGGCAGCAAGCAGTTTCTCATCTCTGCCTTACCAGATCCTTGATGCAGGCATACACAAAAGAGGGGTTTCTAATAACAATACAGTCACATATTCTTAATATCTTGATCATCCTAAATCAGAAAGTCTTTGATCATTAATGGAGCTTTTTGGAGTGATTCGAATTCAAGGATAAATTTTCAAAGACATGTAAGAGGGATTTGCTGCCTGTCTTCTATTCAGATCAGTGGGAGGTAAACAGCTCAATCCTCATATACTACTCTGAAATGTACCCTTTCTAATACTGTATTTTCAAAAGGCATCAGACTTTTCAATAACTAAGAAGCTTCTAAGAAGAACAGTATAATTTCCACTGATATATCTGTCAGCTAATGCCACTTCCAGGAAAACATTAGGCCTGCAGAAAGCAGAAAAGTTCAAAGACTTTCACGGGAGAAGAATATGGAGCTGTGCCCCTTAAGCTGCAAAGCATGTATTCTTTTGCAACACTGCATATGCCAGACTCTACCCCTCTATAACAGAACAGGCCACATGGGGAAGCAAAAAGTGTTCTTGCAGCAAACAGTACTTTTGCATACCAGTGTTCACTGAGGGCTCTAACTTTTCGAAATTATTAGCAGGAGGTGCAGCAAAAATATCAGTTCGGCACAAAAAAGACTCAGAGGAGCATGAAGGTAATCAAGGATTAGAGTCCTATCATGAGAAAGACATCAAGCAGCACCTGACGAACACAGTGAAGGTTTACATTCAATGTATTCAATGCAAATGGGGAAAGAAACAGAATCTTTCCCTAACTGCAAATTTTGTTCATGTATGCTAATGAAGTGCACAATGTGGTCCTTAACAGTTCTGAGAAACATGGTAGTTTATGCAAGTACATAAGGGAAATCAAAATCTCAACTGCTTTTTGGAAATGCAATAAACTACAAAGTCTTCTCCCTGATGATTTTTATCATTAATAATGTAATATCACAAACTAAATATCAGAAGGTGTAAACAAGTTATTAGAACAGATTCTTGAGAGCTATTCTTCCCATTACAGCAGGACTTTTCTAGTCTGCAAGGAAATTTTATAAGTTATCTCTGAGAGACAGAGAAGGATATATGGAATTGCCTCTCTCATATCCTTTATTAAACACATATTTCTTATTTAATTAAAAGCTTTTCTAAGATTACTTTTGATTCATTTGGTCAAATGGCAAAGACTAATAAGAACAACCAAGGTTTGGAAGCCCATTAGAAAATAATCATTCTCAGAAGCAAAAGTAACAAGTATGAACTGAATATTAAGAAGTTACCTCCTCAAGGTCAAAAGAAGTAGTTTGAGAGGTTCCACCTCTCTAATTTAAAAAACAAAACAAAACAAACTCAAACAAACAAAAACCAACCAAACCTGAAAAAACAGATATCTGAGAAAGTACTTACTACAATGTCTTCAGGAAAAGTATCCATACTGAAAGAGCCATCATCAAACGTGACTTCATAGAAAAGTTGAGATGTTACTCCCACAACTCTGCAACGATAGTACCGTGTATTTCTATGTTTTGCGATGACCGTCTGCCCAACTGCAATGGCCTTGTCACATGTATTAGGTCTCTTGAAAAAAGAAAGAATTTAAAAGAAAAAGTAATTTTAAAACACCATCTTACTCATCGGAAATTTTCCAGTGTCAGAACAGAATTTATAACAGTTCACCATTCAGTATGAAAACTTCAAATGCAAAATCATTCCTTTCAATCTTGATCACAGAAATTTGTTTTACATACAAAGGTTCTGCATTTTATAACAAAACAAATGGCATCTGAAGAATATCAAATCACAGCAGTTAAAAATGTTTTTGCAGCTGATGCCTTCTAACTATTCTTCATTAGATCCAAAACACACTATTGACAGTGTTTGTAAATTTTAATTGTAGAATAATTTGTAGAATTTTCTTGAAGAGGTAAGTGATGAACCCAGACTATGGTCTTGCATTGTTTGAAATGAGATTTTTAAGTACTGGATTTCAGTAGGATTCTGCATAATTGCTTAGTTTGTTGGTTTAAGCCCTGCCGGGACCGGAGAGCACGTTGTTGTCCCTCCCCCACCCTCAGCTGGACAGGCTGGCAGTGAGGCACAAACCTGGGTTAAAATGAGAAGAAATTTAATACAACAGTGTGATAAACAATCTGAACAACAACAGTAGCAATGATAACAACAATAAACAGCAATAACAGTGACCAAGACAAACGATATGCAGGGAAATACCGCTAAATGGTCACGGAACAACTTCCCACCACCAAGCCCACCAAAGAGCAAGTAAAAAGTCTCCACCCCTGGACCTGACGTCAGCATGGTATGAATAACCCGGCTGGAGATCCCTTCCCCCCCGCTCTCTGCTGGGGAAACTTAACCCTATCCTAGTTGAACCAGGACACTTAATATTTTGCTGAATGAAATGCAAATCCAGTTATTGTCAGAGCTATCTACAGCAGTGTATCTGAGTAACTTGACCCATACTATGCAGAACCTTTCCTTTAAACTTCAGACAACATTTACTATATAAATAACTGATTAAGAGTGGTCAATCAGTAACAATATTTTTTTCATTTTTCACTTTTAATTCCCCAGAGCTAGCTATGTCAATCAGAAAAGCAGTAGAGTTGTTAAATTATGGAAAAATTCTACATCAATAACTGCTTGATGGGTTCTATGAACAAAGAAAGGAACCTTGTAAGTGAGCAAATGCTCAGAGGCTCACATGATGCAGACAGCTGTTAGATCTCAGCTCCCAACTAATGTATCCCCATGAACCTTCCACTTAAAAAGCAACCTTCTTCACAAAATCAAGAGCTTCTCATCCTAACAACACAAGGGAGGCACTTCTTTCTTATGATACGGACTGTCTATTCATTATTTCACACAGGTCCATTTGTTTATGCAAAAGTCAGTTATTGTGACTTTTGACTGTATCTAAACAGTTGAACTTTTCTTATAATGGAAGATGCTACTACAAGGGGCAACTACACTGGTATGTACTAAGCATGATTTTTTTTTTTTTTAATTAGAAAGGTTTATATAAACAGCATGAAAGTATTACATATGTCAAAGTTATTCGTTTCCTAGTACTGCTTTTCAAACCTTCAAAGGCAGTGAATTATTCAATCAATATAATAATCTTAAAAAGTGTCTGTGAAAATCTGGAAAATGCTACAGCTGTAGAATTTTTAGCACGAATATCAAAGGGAGGACCAAGGACAGCATCAGTTCTTTTTGTTAGATTCCAAGCATTAGTAGTAATGTCAATGCTTTTGGGGAAAAGGAAAATACCACCCTAAACTGGAACACTTCTGTTTTTGCGGAGACTGTAGTCAATATTGTGCCTCTTTCTTGGTCCAATTTCTGTAATTTAGAATTTTTAAAACTCTCTTGTTCCTGCAAACTAAAGGCAAACCAAGTACAAATATTCTGTACCATTTCTGAAGACAGTGCATTAAATCTCTTTGTGTCAGAACTCTGTCTGAGAAACACATTCAGAGGATTTAGTTGAGGTCACCTCAGATAGTAAAATCCAATCCAATGATCTTTCTCAAGCATTTTCAAGTTTACCTAGAAATAATGTTCTGAGCATAATCATAAATTATTTAACCATTTACAGGTATAAAAAAATTGTTTCTTCCTCATTTTACCTGTCTGTAGCTAGCCTATGCAGCAGAACATAAATAACAATGTACTAGTATTATGACAGGAGTGATAACATGTCAGTTAGCACTTTTTATCCAATCTTGAAACATATGTAAATATAATTGTTAATTTACCTTTCAATTCTTGACTTTAGT